ACCACAGGAGTCACCACAACGCACCATGGGAGCACCACGATGCACTATAAAAGTTACCACAATACACCACAGAAGTCATCACAATGCACCATGGGAGCACCACGATGCACTGTGGGAGTTATCACAATACACCACAGGAGTCACCACAATGCACCATGAGAATACCACGATGCACTATAGAAGTTGCCACAATACACCACAGGAGTCACCACAATGCACCACGAGACTACCACGATGCACTGTGGGAGTTACCACAATACACCACAGAAGTCACCACAATGCACCATGGGAGCACCACGATGCACTGTGGGAGTTACCACAATACACCACAGGAGTCACCACAATGCACCATGAGAGTACTACGATGCACTATAGAAGTTGCCACAATACACCACAGAAGTCACCACAATGCACCATGAGAGTACCATGATGCACTATAAAAGTTACCACAATACACGACAGGAGTCACCACAATGCACCACGAGAGTACCACGATGCACTATAGAAGTTACCACAATACACCACAGGAGTCACCACAATGCACCACAAGAGTACCACGATGCACTATAGAAGTTACCACAATACACCACAGAAGTCACCACAATGCACCATGAGAGTACTACGATGCACTATAGAAGTTGCCACAATACACCACAGGAGTCACCACAATGCACCACAAGAGTACCACGATGCACTATAGAAGTTACCACAATACACCACAGGAGTCACCACAATGCACCATGGGAGCACCACGATGCACTGTGGGAGTTACCACAATACACCACAGGAGTCACCACAGTGCACTATGGGAGCACCACGATGCACTGTGGGAGTTACCACAATACACCACAGGAGTCACCACATTGCACCATGGGAGCACCACGATGCACTGTGGGAGTTATCACAATACACCACAGGAGTCACCACAATACACCACAGGAGTCACCACAATACACCACAGGAGTCACCACATTGCACCATGGGAGCACCACGATGCACTGTGGGAGTTACCACAATACACCACAGAAGTCACCACAATACACCATGGGAGTTACCACAATACACCATGGGAGTTACCACAGTGCACTATGGGGGTTAGCACAATGCATATAGGGGCTTCATTTATTAAGGTGGTGGATGTTGACATGACTTGTGTACCGATAGTACTGGAGACATATTACAAATTAATTAGCCTTGCAAACAAGAAGCTTGCAACTAATATTTGTTTGCTATGAATAACATGAAAACAATGTGATCCCCATTATTGGAGTTTACTATACTTAATACAGAAAATACATTTGATTTTCACATCAATAGATAATTGCATAAATAATCAATATGCATGTTTTTTATTATTAAACTAGTCACATCTGTGGATTACCCCAAAGCATCCATGAACCGAATTTCAATATAATGTGATGATTACACAAATTGTGCAAATTGAAAACAATGCGTAATTATTATGCAAATTTAGCAATTATTATGCATAGATTTCAACTAAAAACTAATGAGGTCTGTGTATTGTTCCACGGCACATATTACCAAGTTTCATTATAATGTGATGGTTAATTCTTTTAAAAAATTGATGGAATGTCACAAAGTTAATTATTATGCAAAGTTGGTAATTATTATTCGATGTAAATAAACCCAAAATTAATTACATTGTTGCGTTGTATAAAGAGTATTTATGTACCAAGATTCATTGTAATAAGATAAGTACTTGAGATATTGATGGAAAAGATGAAAACCTAACAAAATATTATGCAAATAAGGTAATTAATATGCAAATATTTTAATGTAAAACTAACAATATCTGCTCAATGTCACAGACCATAAATGTACCAAGTTTAATTGAAATGTAATGATTAGTACTTGAGACATCAGTGGAAAAGCCGAAAATTGATTAATCGTTATACAAATAATTAATATGCAAGATCTGTTACCCAAAACTAATCAGGTCTGTGCACTGTTCCAGAACATCTATGTACCAAGTTTCATAAAAATCCAGTGGTTCTTTAAATAAAAATTAGCAAATTATCATGCAAATTAGGTAATTATTATCTATGGATTTAACTCAAAACCTAATCAAGTCTGCGCATTGTCCCAGAGCATCTATGCATCAAGTTTTATCAAAAACCAACGTATGGCTCTTGAAGTATCAGTGGAACAGACGAACACACACATACACGTCTTACCACCTTTGTGACATAGGATTAACTTTTAATACAGTTGAATTAACTTTTAATATAGTTGCGTTATGTTTGGATTAAAACGCGACTCCATATAGGGCATATAATTACAATAAAATTCAACATAGAATTGCGTTTTAATTCATGTTTAGTTAAATAGAGGTTGAAAATCCTGTGACTTCTTAACATAGACATTTTTTGCGAAGCTTAGGTTTAGTAACGGGGGAAGGTATAACTATAAACTTGTACTAACCCTAAGCTACGCAAACTTGATTTAAATTCGATTAAATATTAATGTTAATTATGAAAATAGTGAGTGTCGTGACTTGGTAGGTCTGTCGTCAGTTGGTGTATAGTTAAATGAAAGTCGTCATAACGTCACGGTTGCCAGCAAAAACGCACACACAGACACCCAAACTACCATTGTGTTCTTTGCACACGGGAGTCAAAAAATATTCACGCTAATGACTTGAACCAAAATTACCGTATTATCCCCTGACAGTCCGTGGGGTAATGAATTTGTTTCAGTTCGTCTGTCCGTCCGTCTGCCTGATCCTTTTTTTCTCAGAGATTCATGGGCTGTTTTTTGTCAAAACATGGTACAACTACTCAAATTCGACAAACTTGATGACAGTGATTATTTACCTACAGTGGTGACACATGATGTTTTTTTCTCATTAAAATTTTCTGTTTTGTCAATTTCTCAATGTGAAACTAGTAACTGACTAATTTAATTAAAATTTAGCCGCTTTCACTATTTTATTTTTTGAAGCAAGGCTTATTATTTTGTGATAAAATTGAAAAAAATCTCATATATAGATATTCATATAGAGAAATGTACCAAGTTGTTGTTATGATAAAATTACACATTGAAAAATGTATTAATAACTTCTTCCTTTTGCGGCGTACATTCTGGGAAATAATTCAACACACCGATAGGGGGCGCTTTTCCCCGGAATCAAGCAAATGATTAATATTGACGGACTATCACATGTCTTCGCAATACTAACATGCCAAATTGACATAAATCTGATAAATTGAGAAATGTGGGACCATTCTTTCCTAAAACAGCAATTAATGTATTTTAAGATGTTGAGTTAATTAGTATTTAAACAGTCCTTAACAAATTCCATGTTTCGTAACTTAAAATATATAACTGTTAATGAAATACATTCACTGTATGAAGTACATCATTATTGAACCTTTCTCTTGAGTCCATATCTAAAAAAGAATACGATTATGCAATACGCATTAGTATTCATCATGTTTAAAATAATAAGTTTATTAGCCACTGCCTTCTCGAAACTTTCCGGTTACCCACAATTCTCTAGTAATATTGGCGTGCGCATGCGTACATCGTTGTCGGCCATTTTCTAAAGATTCTTGGCTTTCGACGTCAACTTTGCACATCAAATTCGCTAAGAAAGTGACATACTATGGCGGGTTTGCCACGTAGGATCGTAAAAGTGAGTAGCGAATATAACATTTGCATGTGTTCTTTGCCGATTATTGTCCCTAGTGGGTGGCACTTCATCAAAAGTAAACGAGAGGTTGGGTGAACTTCCATGTTCGTCTAAAAAGCAGTCGCCGGTCTTCAAATCCGGATACCGTCTTGTACTGCGTTTTGTTGTATACGCATGTGTACATCGACTTAAGTAAAATTTTTGGAAATTTGTACGATATAAGTTCATCTTACTTACGGGTAATTTTGTTGCTACCCGTGGATCTTGTACAACGCTGCCTAGTATTGTGCATGACTCGTCATTTGTTCATGCCGGTGATGTCATATATTAGGAATACGAGAGAACCCGGCACCAAAACCAACCCGACACCAAAACGATCCCGGCACCAAAACGATCCCGGCACTTCAGTGAATGAACCTAATCTTACTGTATAAGTCCCTCAATGCAAAGTACGTTCAAAATCATCCACGAAATATGGTTTAAACATCTCGTGATTCATATACTTGTTGTTTCGTATTTGAATCAAGAACTATAATAAATACATTTACTAAGTATCGGTATACGTGCACAGAGGTTCCTCCATGGTAGTGCAACCGACAAACGTTCACGAAATCGACAATCTACATTTTCGTAAAATCGACAACCAAAAAAACAGGTACGAGTAGCCGGTTAAAAGTATGTGTATATCTGCAAATAAAATAAAAATGTTTGTTAAATCGACATAAATCCAACACAAATGCGTGTCCGTTCAAATTGGTGCCGGGTTCTCTCGTACATTGTGGTGCCGGGTTGGTTTTGGTGCCGGGATCTCTTGTTTTCTATATTAGAAGCCTACGTACTACGGTCCCAACGCAAGTCTCTGATGCATGCTTGCTTTCTTGATTTTTTGGGATTTTTTTTCCGAATCCCCAAATTGCATATGCCCCATATTTAATATATAAAATTCACGTATCTTTACTTTTTCATTTTTTGCATCAATGATTTAAGTATATGTAGACTTTCTCTTCAAACATATTAGCCATATTATACTTTAAGCACAGCTAACCTGTTTCCTTCATCTATATAAATATTTATAAATTTCAATCGAAGTTTGATGCAACTAGCCGATCAATGAGCACAGTGCACATCAACACCATTTGATAACATTACGTTACTCGATCGGCTAATAGAAACCTCTCGTTTTAGTTTGAATTGCAAAATTTATAAATATTTGTAAACAAGAAGGAAACAGGTTTGTTGTGCCGATTGTATATGGCCAATTAATACAAAGGATTTATGAGATGAAGCTTTGCATGTGGTGTGATAGAAGATGAAGATCTCCCAAAATTGAAAAAAAGTCGTGTAAATTGAGAAATCACAAACCACAGACACACATTTCTAGAAATGCTGCGAAGTATGTGAGTGAGTCTGTGAAAGAACTGGTTAATATTCATTTTGATGCTGTGATTGTGTCCTTGTATATTTGCAAAGCTTGTATCACATAGGGGTCTGTATTTTCACTTTGAAATGTGAAATGGTGGAATTAGAAATAAATATAACAAACAAATCAAATACATACAAATTTTACTGAAAACAAATATTGCTAGACACAAAACAAATTTACAGAAATACTAATGCGAGTGATAAAATGGTAAAAAATCATGTTAGAGTTTTTTTGTCGTGTTCGTGTGTCTTATTGATTATGACATCTCGTATTTCTGTTTCCAAAATACTTTCAGGTGAATGTCCAGGGGGGCCAGAATGAAAACTTTCATTGTCAATTAATTCTTACACCGATATGCATAATTTAATACAGTGACTGGTGGATATTGACTTTCTACTGTCACTTTGTTAAAGATGCAATGCAGATTTATACTGTTGTTGTTTTGATATTAATCTATATATTGATAGGCACCAAACCTCTCAGGGTCCTGGTGACCATGGGTCTGAAAAATTAATGCGACAAAAACCAAATACTGTAGTGAGCCCTTCAGCAAAAATAGCAAAAATAAAGTATTGTACAGTCTCTATAATTGCTCCAGACAAAAAGCGTGATATAAGTAAGGTGAACCCCTGACTCCTAGAATTCTGTAATCTGTATTAGAAGCTGCGGCTTTTATTAAAATGGTACAACAGAGGGGATGCGATTTCTATTAGAGCATTTACACATAATGAGAAATGGTGATTTTTGGGTTCTCAATTGCTCAAAAAGAATGGGTGTGACTTCTATTAGGGATGCGGCTTCTAATAACAGATTTTACGGTGCCGAAGAGCACCATCTCTGGTCACACAATGCAATTATGCGACAGAAACTAGGCTTGGTGCAAAATTTTCTGATTGAGGTAACTAAGATGTGCCTTCGAGTACACAATATTTCTGATTGAGGTAACTAAGATGTGCCTTCGAGTACACAATATTTCTGATTGAGGTAACTAAGATGTGCCTTCGAGTACACAATATTTCTGATTGAGGTAACTAAGATGTGCCTTCGAGTACACAATATTTCTGATTGAGGTAACTAAGATGTGCCTTCGAGTACACAATATTTCTGATTGAGGTAACTAAGATGTGCCTTCGAGTACACAATATTTCTGATTGAGGTAACTAAGATGTGCCTTCGAGTACACAATATTTCTGATTGAGGTAACTAAGATGTGCCTTCGAGTACACAATATTTCTGATTGAGGTAACTAAGATGTGCCTTCGAGTACACAATATTTCTGATTGAGGTAACTAAGATGTGCCTTCGAGTACACAATATTTCTGATTGAGGTAACTAAGATGTGCCTTCGAGTACACAATATTTCTGATTGAGGTAACTAAGATGTGCCTTCGAGTACACAATATTTCTGATTGAGGTAACTAAGATGTGCCTTCGAGTACACAATATTTCTGATTGAGGTAACTAAGATGTGCCTTCGAGTACACAATATTTCTGATTGAGGTAACTAAGATGTGCCTTCGAGTACACAATATTTCTGATTGAGGTAACTAAGATGTGCTTTCGAGTACACAATATTTCTGATTGAGGTAACTAAGATGTGCCTTCGAGTACACAATATTTCTGATTGAGGTAACTAAGATGTGCCTTCGAGTACACAATATTTCTGATTGAGGTAACTAAGATGTGCCTTCGAGTACACAATATTTCTGTGATGTTTGGGGGAATCTTACCTTTTGATTTGTAATGAACAGGGAGATCTATTTCGTGTAGTTTGACACTGAAAAGTCAAATTCTGATGATCGCAACAGCAGCGGTGAATAGCCCTTCCATCTCAATGCTGTCAACTGGCTATGTTACAGTGTGTAATTACTGTTATGATATAAATTAATGAGAAATCTTTATCGAAAACCAAAAAATGTTATTAACTAACCGTGTGAACTTAATAATATTTACCCGGTAGGTAAGTTAACAAAATAATATTTGCTGTCATTGGCACAAAATTCTGAAGCCAAAATGATAAACGAGTTACCTCCATGGACATAAATATTTTACTAATCATTGCAAATATATTTGTATAAGCATTTAACGTTAAGAAGCAGTCTATTAAAAATTCAATTGCATATTGTATTTTTTTTTTCCTTTGAATTTTTTTTGCCGTTTTATTTTCTAACTTTATTTAGTTCACTTGATACATGAATATTAGTGACATCTGTATACAATTACAATGGAGTAAATGATATAAACTATAGGAAACATCTTGAGTTTCAATTAGATGGACGCTCTCAATTTCATCCGCAATAATAATTACATAGTTACATGGACATGATTATTAATTATGCAAATTAGATGCATTTTCTTGCAATTTAGTCTTGATGCCTAAAGGGCGGTGGTCGTTGAGCCGCATCCTGTTCGATATGGGACCCATAGTGATGTACACAACACATGAAAATGCATTATTTACATGAAATTTCAACGTGCTGCGCGATGACCACGTCCTTTAGCATCAATTCAGGAGCGAACACTGGTGCTGGCCTAAATATTTGAATTGTCTGTATGATGTTTAGTATGATATGCATTTTTACCAATAGAAGTCATGTCACAGGGCATGAGATATTTCACACATAATATCTATAGGGAATCTCAAGTTTGGCTTCCTTCTAATTCTGTTAAATGTTAAAAATAAATGTTGGTTTTCAGATTTTAATGAGATTTTCCTCAGTGAAAATTGATAAGACACTAATTTGTTGACTGGGAATGTCATTTATAATTATTTATTATCTAAATGTGTATATACTGTCTTATTGTTATTTTTAAGGAAACGCAACGTCTGATGCAAGAACCTGTGCCTGGAATTAGTGCTGTCCCTGATGAAAACAATGCACGGTATTTCCATGTAGTTGTAGCAGGACCAGAAGAGGTAAATCACACTAAATGCACTTACAGTATTATTATAAATGCATGGAACACAAATCATGTGCTGTAATGTCAATTTTAAATTAAAAAGGATATTTGTGTTACTGTGTATTTCTGTTTTTTTTTTTTTTTTGGTAGTCTCCCTTTGAAGGTGGTACGTTTAAACTAGAGCTATTTCTCCCAGAAGAATATCCAATGTCAGCGCCTAAAGTAAGGTTTATGACCAAAATATATCATCCAAATATTGATAAATTGGGAAGGATTTGTCTAGATATATTAAAGGGTAAGTTGTTTCCACTGCATACTTCTTTAGGTCTTGTATAATTCAGGAAAATTATGTACATGCCAATGTATTATGAAGTTAGGAGAGATCCCAAAAAACTTGCTCAGTGTTTTTTTTCAGGTGAAAATTCAGGTGCAGCTAGTGAATTGAGCAGAAAGTCTACTTTTCACTGCTTCTAAATGAGTTTATGGTAAACAAGATCATAGAGGTCTCTAAAAAAAAATTTCCAAATTGGCTGAGCAAGTTTTTGAGCAAAGTGCAAATAAAGTGAAAATATGACTTTTTACACAATTATTATTATTATTATTATTTATTTCAGACAGAGTCCATATAAAGTAAATTACAGAACAAAAAGAGAAAATGAAATAGAGTTACTGTTTATAATAAAAAAAACAGACATTAGGTTTTTGCTACAAAATCAAAAAATCAAATTATTCCAGTACCACGCCAACTGTGAGTTCCAACGTATGTCACTACTATATATTACAGAGACAATGCCATCTGTAGATGTATAAACGCGTTCAGTAAATAAAGATACTAGCTTTCTATTAAGACAAGGGAATGTTTGTACTTTATTAACAACACACATTGTACTGACACTACAATCATGTGGATATCCAAAAAATTTCCTGAAAGCATTGTTATAGGAAACCCTCGTGGCATTAAGCGTAGACTTTCGAAAACAACACCATAATTGACAGCAATAAAAACTAGAACAATAAGTTTTGAAAAGCAATTGCTTAACCTCAGTGCTACAGTTCATAAATTTTCGCAACAAAAGATTAGCATGAACACAAAACAAACATCTCTGGTGATCAATGTCAATATTGTCTTTAAGATCGCAAGTAATTTTGTGACCGAGGTAGTTAAACAATTCAACAAATTCTAATTTATGACTACATAGATAAACCGGTGGTATATTACTCAGTTTATGACGACTTGGAAAATACATACACTTTGTTTTCTTAGTGTTATAAATAATATCATGATCGTTAGCATATAGCTCACATGTATGCATAAGTTTGCGCAAACCTTTGATAGAGGGGGCAATGAGGCACATGTCGTCTGCATAGCTTAAATTATTTACAGTTTTAGCACCAACCTGACCACCACATCCAAGCTTATTTAATTCACACCTAAGTCATCTACATATAAAGGTTGAACAGGGCCGTGGACGAACTCCGTTAGTGACCTCAAAGAAACGTGACAGGTTGTTTCCCCAATGCTTTTGTTTTCAGTGCTAGATATGTAATATTGATGTCACATTGCTATAACACGTCTCATGCTGAAAGCCTGTTGTGTTAGCAAATGATTAATAAAGATGTTCTTTTTTCTATTTCTTGGTAGATAAATGGAGTCCAGCTTTACAAATACGTACAGTGTTACTTTCAATTCAAGCGCTATTGAGTGCGCCTAACCCGGATGATCCACTAGCCAATGATGTTGCGGAACAGTGGAAAGTTAACGAAGCCCAAGCAATTGAAACAGGTGAGTATGAAACCATCAACATTGTCTTGTGTAAAGCTACTGTAGAATACTTTATTTTTGCTTGGAATTTATTTTTCGCTATTTTCGCTGAAGGGATGATTCCGTGAAAATTAAATCCAGCGAACTATGTTTTTTTCCCTATATTTCACATTAAACTGATTCAAAAATCAGTGAAAATAAATTCCACACAAAACGCCCAAAAAGCTTTTGCAGCGAAAATTAATTCCAGCGAAAATAAAGTATTTCACAGTATTCAGGAAATAAAATTGAGTTGTTCTTGCTGCAAGCTGGGGAATACCTTTCATTCTCAGTTTCTCAAAGATGAATGTGTGTGACTTTGAATTGTTTTTACTTTGTTTTACACATTTTACTCAAAATCCCCATGCATATTTAGTTTAGTTTATTACTATGTATAAACTTCAATACTGCGATCTCAAATATTAGACCAATATTAGCAATATTAGTTTCCAAGCTTCTTATTTTTTAGGCTAATCGTAAATTTTGAATTCATTTTAAATATGCCTCCAATACTTAGCACACAGGAGTTGTTTCTAAGCTTTCTTTTGATTGCTTACTATATCATGACGGGATATGTAATGTTTTTACCCAATCCGCAAAGACAGCAGAGATATTAAGACTGACTTGTCATTTGTTTACATTTGTTTACCAACAATGTACATCAATAGACACTGTTTTACTGAACTAATATGTTCTTCCTCTTCTCTTTCAGCGAGAGCATGGACAAGATTATATGCAAAGTAACTTTTCATTTTCTATAAACTGAGATTGCCCCACAGAATTCCAACCTTTTTAAGTACATTCATATAGAAACCAGCTAATAATTACTGTACTGCTGCAGATGTTGAAGTCACTTCTGCCACCATTGCTCAAGATGTGGCAAGTTGTACTCTCTCCCAATATGGAAGAATACTCGCTTGGTATTCCTTGGTCTCTTTGCAGTGATTTTACTGTATATTCTGTTAAAAAAGTGTTGGGCATATTCAAAGAAAAGGTATCATTGTGTGTTAATGGAAAGTGCATTCCCTTTGATCAAACTGAATGTTTTTGTTATTTTAGCTATAGTGGATCTATGATTATTGTAAATTTTCTAATTTAGGCGTCACTTTTAGAGCATTTCAATCTTTTCCTGACACCTGAATCAGAGTACAATTTGGGTTTTTTGTAGTCCCTGACAATAATTCAAGAATATGCATTGTGACCAGTGTGGATGAGTAAACTCAGATTTGACAACAACAATCAACATAAAAAATATTAAATACATCTTCAATGCTCAGTAGTATATCATTGAAAATTTTAAAAAAAATGCTGTTTTGGTCATCAGATTCAAAATCATATTCTGATTGGTTAATAACCAGCTTGACCTATCAGGTCAAAGGACATACCGGTAGTTTCAATTCAACTAGTGTATGAAAAAACTGTTCATGACATCTATTTTAAAAGGCCGTTCACTCCCACTTTTCGTCTAAAACTAGCGTGGTGATGCCTAAAGTAGAATACTTCTTGTAGTTGCTTTTCTCCCGATGTTTATATATTTACTGCCCCTAACTCGGTGCATAATAGCTAAAATAACTATCACATCCAGTTTACATTAAAAAAACAGGCTTTCACACCTAGTTTTACAATTCGTGCTTTGGAGTTATTTATGTATTTTTATCATGTTGCATCTGATCTTGGCTGAAATACAAATGTTCATAACTTATCACATAGTGTCAAGTGCTTTACAATAGATTTATCTGCAATGTAATAAGTCCCCCCTGAATTGCAATGTTGTCTTTCTTGAACAAAAATCCTTTTCTTCCAAAATACCTTTCTCTTTTTGACTTGCATCACCCAGCAATTTATTTCTCTATTTCTGGTACCAATAACCGGTTTGACCGGTAGAAAATAAAGTAAAACTTTGGGAATGATTTCTGGCTAAGAACTGGTTCAAATGGGAATTACATGTACTTGAAAATACCAACCGGTATATATATGAATATATTAATTGTTTTTGTATGTTCATTTTTATCTTTCCAATGGAGTATCGATAATATTACATGTATTATTGCGGGTTTTAACAAAACATCAAGTGAGCGCATCTCATCAACACTTCTACTACTTTCCACTCGCTCTCTTCCTGTGATGTATCAATATATTTTCAAATTAAGTTTATGATATTATTGTTATTGGATGTTCATTCCGAGTAAGGTAACTAATAAAAGTCAAATCTGATTCTGTCTAACTTTCAGACTTGTCCAAGATCACTACGACTACTAAAGACAATTAGTAGCACTAATTTTAGAAACCGACCCGATAAGCAAAGGGTATGAAATGTGTTCCCTTTATTTTCATCTTTTGGGGGGTGAACATTCTTTAACCTGGAAGTGTGGTCATTGACATGTCACTGTGAACAAAACCACATGAGCCTATAATTTTATTTGTGCACATGCACATGCAATAGCTTAATCTTGTTGGTCTACAGTCTCAGCAGATTATCCACAATCCTGTATTTTGTTTTATCTACACAATATAACAGTTTGTCTTATAAGAATATTCGTTTGCTATCAATATGCAAATACAGGTACCTGTCAAAATTTGTATGTCATTTTCCCTTTTATGTCTATGGGCATTCAAATCCTGTTTCATCATATTAGGGCATGTCAGATTTTCGCGTGAAGTTCAAACGTTCATGGACTGAATCTAATAGCATTTTAGTCTGTCAGATTGTAATCTGAATTCGAAGAGGTTTGTAGCAAAAAATATGCTTCTCACAATTTGTACCGTAACTATTTGAGATCATTGATGCTGACTGATGAATTAAACCTTATACTAAATATGTTCACTGAAATAACGTATTTATGTCTATAATAGACTTTAAGTGCAAATGGTCAGCGGTGTCTTGTTGAGAGCAAGAGAACCCCCTTCAACTAGTGTGCTATTCCCTTCTATCACCGATTCTACTGTTCCACTGATATATGCAACTTGGGTGTTTGAAACTGTGGACGTGTGGTGACTAGAATGAAAGGAACACCATTTGAGGTGCACTCGCCACACTCTCTCTCTCTTAAACAAACCTTAGTGGCCATTTGCATCAAAGGTCTATTAATACATATGCCATTCACCATATTGTGGAGTGAGTTCAAGCAAAGACTGACATTTTATTAGTATTTGCATCACTTGCCGAGCATTCTGTTTACAAATAATCATTGTATTAGCCGAATGTTTCATTAATATTTCAGGGTGGCGAGAAACTTGAGTTTGCCACTTGAGTTGTGCATGTCTGTACATGTATATAGTGTTTCTCTGAAAACCTGTTATACAAGGCATTGCCACAACAATCTTAATTTTAGAAGCTTTGCTTTAAAAAGGTATTAAAAAAAAAAATCCATAAAAAAAAATTAGTTTAAAGTAAAGTCTTTCTTTTTTCTCGTATTAGTAAGTTTTGTTTTTAAACATGATGATCCATGCAATATTACACATCATTAAATCAATATTTTTGCGAGTCTTTGTGTTCTATTGGTAATGCATCTTTGGTCATACTTTGGTGGATAGCTTCACTGTAAAAAGTTGCTTTTGTGGTTTTTGAGTTTAGAGACTATTATTCAACATATTTGATTACGAATATGCGTAAATTATCTGAGAATTTGGTTGGATTGGCGCTTGTTTTCCCATCTTGGATGGAAAATTTAAAAATTATGAACAGAGTTGTGCACATTCTGGGATGGTTTCGAGTCTATGTATTGGTCATAAAAACCTAAGAATGTTGAGTCATCAGCCACTGTTTTAAAAGTTATTCCGTCATTGTGAACAGTCTGTTCTATTTTTCGATTATGGCTATAATTTCTGGATGATTTCTAATGTTAAAGATTGATAGCTACAAATGGAATGAAGGGGAACCAGTGTAATCTTTCCTAGTTCATTAACATCTCGTATCTACAAGTTGCACTGACAAGTTGACTTGGAAGTCATTTGCCTGAAAAGGATGTACTGATATCAAATGTCATTCAATTTCAGTGATAATTATTAAATGAAATTTTAACACCTTTTGTTGCAGCATTGTTGCCATGTGTGTAGCTGCACCAACACAATTGGTGATGTAGCATGGTTGGTATAAAAGTAGATGTTTACAAATGTACTTTATTCGACCAATACCACTGTGGTCACTGCTTTATCATATGTGTGGAATTTTACTTGTGTTCTCTTAATTTCCATCAATTTTGACCCTATAATATTGTATTGAATGTGTTCAATCATATTTATGATAATGATAAATGTTGAGCAGACTGATTAATTTTAGGTTAATATTTCTATTAAAGTATATGTTTTTTTAAACAGACTTCTGGGAGGGAGTGAAGGGTTAGTTTAGTCAATACTGGCAAATAATCATGCCAAAGTCATCTCAATATTAAATACTTTATCATTTCTCGACTGTTTTCTCTATTTTTGTCAGGTATACTATTTTAAAATCAAGACAATTTATGTAGTATTATTTTTTTTTTTTCAGACTTGTATATGATGTTTAAAAAAAAATTCCTTATGTTTGTAGCTGATTAACAGTCAATAAATACAACTTTGGCTTGGATTTATTCTAAATGATTGTTGTGTGTACACATTTTATTTGTGTATGTTACAAGAATACTTGAAAAATTGCTGTTTCTTTGCTTTATACAGGAAAATCTTTGTACAAATTGTATGACAATGCATGTACTTTTGGTGAGTGTACAGTAATTGTTACTTACCGGTAGCTTTGTACAGTGGAAACGTATTTTTGAGCTGGATATACTTGTGATAATGTGTGCATTGCAAAGAATAATGAATGATAACCCAAAGTCTTTTTTTTTGTTACGGGCACCTCTGAAATACATCTACCATTTATGTCAATTAACTTGCAGTCTGCTATTGATCTCAAATTGGATTCGAAATGAACGTTGTCAATTTTCTTTGATCCTGTGATTATTTGAAATGAGCAGATATAATTCCAACAGTCAACCATTGACTGTTGAATTTTGCATCAATGATTGACATATTCTTGAGGTCTCGGACATGATTTCTCGGGTAAGAAAGCTTTGGATCTTGGGTGCAGCAAAATTTCAAAAATATTTCAAAGATATTCTGAAGTGCCGTTACTCAAAGGGTTCACGCAAGTGCCATTACTCTAAGGGTTCAAGTCATTTTACTACTTTTTGAATAAATATAAATGGTAAACAATTGCTGCGTTACAAAAACTTGGCTGTATGTTCCCCATTATCATGAATTCTACGGATGTATAGCTATTATATATATTTATTGCTCTCATCTACAAATCTTGTGGATGTTTCTTACTGCCGTGTTTGCAGTTAGTGTGCCTGTATATATTTGTGTACGAGTCCCCTGGTATATCTGTTCCATGGGTATCTCAAGAACCAATTATCAGATTTCAGTGACACTGTACGTAGATGCTCTGGCATAAAGCTCAGACCTGATTATTTTTTGGTTGAAATCCATGCATACTGATTACCTAATTTGCATATTAAGTAGCCAATTTTAGGTATTCACTTTTCTTGTGTACCATTCAGCAGATTTCAATGCTGCTCAGATGGTTGAATGCCATTGATATTAATTACCTAATTTGCATGTCAATTTTAAGCCTCAATTTTTTTCTCAAGAACTACCTCACTGATTTTAATGAAATTTAATACAAAAATGCTCTGGGATAATGCACACACCTGATAAGTTTCTGGTTGAAATCTGTGCATATAAATTACCTACCTTATTATATATAAATGGAGTTTATGTGACCTTGTTAATATGCATAAATGTAATATCTCAAGCACTGATAAGGACATGAAACTAGTACTATAATGGTGTTGTCGGACAAGATGTATGATATATAAACCTCATCATATATGGTCATGATTATATTAATTATAATTGCTATACTATCGCTACCTTGAACCATCCTGATCACATCTTGCAGTTATATATCTAAATGCCGTATTTTGTTCTATTAAAATCACACCTGCTCAAATGTAAATGACAAAAACAAGTCCGTGGTAAAATAACACTTATTTCATGGAGCTCCATGCTTATTTGTACTTCATGCCTCCAATACCCTTAGCACACGGGAGATCTTTTTAAGCTTTCTTTGATTTACATAAGACGTATGACGGCAATGCAACTATGTAGAGCAGTTTTTAAAAGTAACGGTGATTGGATTTGCCTAGCTCGGTCATTAAAAATAATCGGGGATGTATGGACTATTTTCGTCGTAACCACATCTCT